GGGGAGGAGCAGGGCGTGAGGATGCTGGATAGGTAGGGGCTGCCCTCCGGGGGGACCTCACCGCCCCTGGTGAGCTGCCAGCCCCTGCGAGCGGGAGGCCTCGCCCGCTCCTGGTGGGCCGGGCATGGTGGGTGCTGGGTTTCACGGCCCGGGGACTGGGCCTTGGCATGGCCGTGCCTTCAGCAGCTGGGTTTGGGCCTCGGTGCCAGGTGGCTGGTACGTTTCACTCACTGGTCTCTCACCCAACGATCATCTTTCTCGATGAGTGACCCTTACTTTGTGGCTAGGTCGTGGATAGTATTGTGTTACATGGTGGGGGGAAGCCATCTCTGTCTTCTGCATTTGTCTGTTCAACAGCAACTTTGGGGCTGAACCTGAATTAATGCCCAAAACGCCGTCACAGAGGAGGCGTCCCAGGAAAAGGCAGTCCTCCTGCCTGAAGGAAGACAATAAGGAGCCAAACAGGAGGAGGTAGGTGAGTCGGCTTGTTCTGGCCCTGCCACACGGCGTTGAAGAGGCAAACAAACCAGTAACTGCTTCCATATACACAAGAGCATAGAACAGCTGCTTTTATTCCCTAGCAAATACATGTAAAAGGGCGTGCCAAGATCAATCAACAGTTTGATTCTTGTGAAAGTTTGGGATAGAGTTGGCTGGTTTCCCTCATGTTCACTTTTGGTTTGGTGTTGTTTTTTGTCTGGTTAGAAACAAAGAATAATAAATATTCAATTTTCTTGTCTGTTTGGATTTGTTTGTTGTTTGATTTGATTTTGTTTCACCATGGTTTTTTGACCTGAGGTTGCTACTGGTGTTCACTCCCTAAACCTTTGTGCTGGTGCCTGAGAGAACCTGGGAATGGAAGTTGCTGCTGGTGCCGTGCAGAAACGGCGTCTTCGTGGCTGTCATTTGAGCTGGCAGGCAGGAAGGCTCAAAGGGGTTAGAGGTGAAACTGAAGTGGAAATTCCAAGTGTTTTTCTTAGAACCAGCTGTTCTTGAGGTTTTTAAAGCTAGTCCTAAGTAGACAATAGTTGCCTGCAAAACAGTGCTAAGGCAGGATGGTGTAGGGTATGGTTTGATTGATGTGTGGTCAGGGATGGCTGTGACGCTAATCAGCTTCCTTGATGCTGCCGCTTCACGGCAGCTGGCTGTGTACCTGCTCTTGTCCTGTGGTCAGTGGCAAGGCGGTTAAGGTAACCTTCCCTTCAGAGAAGCGCGTGCCGTGAGCTGAGGGGAGGCATGCTGACAGTTGCTGTAGTGTGACCCAGACCTCGTTGCTGGGTACGCAGTAGTAAACTGCTTATGCGTTAAGGCACTTAAATTTTGATAACCATGGTGAAAAACCCACAGAAGTTGGACAGGAAGAGTTAGAACTAAAAGACTGTCAGAAACCAGACATGGAGGATGGAGAGAACAGCAAGAATAGTAAGGACGCGTGGGAAGTTCATGCGTGTGTGTGGCGAAGGAGGGCAGGAGAAGAAAATGCTGCAGATTTAAAAGGGGAGAGCTCTTAAGACAGACTGTTAGTGTTCAGGTAGCAGCTGCATCGCTCCCCTGAGGAAGACAAGTCTTGCAGGTATTTTTCCTCATTTAAACGTGGTTTTGAGAAACGTCCACTGATGTGACAGAGTGCCTGGGCCAGCGGTTATGCGTCAATGGGAAGTTCATGCTGCAGTTCAGCACGTTGTGCTCTGTCCTGTAGGGCCAGGCCATTGTTGCTGTCCTTGCACCCTTTCCAACTTTGTAGTCTTGGGTTTTTTTTGCTGATTCTATCAAAAAGTCCCTCTTCTTGCTAGGGGCCAGAATGAGAAATTAAGAGAAGGGGGCTGGGAGGAGGGCAGAGGCTATCATCTTAAATACTGGCAGTAGGACCAGTCAGTCCTTGCTGGTGGTCTTGCACAAGGGGCTGTAAAACCTTGTTCGTGCACTGCAGTGGGTTTTCTTAGCTGCCTTTTCTGGCTGTTGCACACTTCCATGTTAGCTCTCCATTTTGTCTTTGTCTCCGATCTCCACCTGTTACCTGGCTGCCTCTGGGTTACTTTGGCATCGGGAGCTGCGTTCCTCTGCACAGACAGAGGTGTCCTTTGGTTTTGGGTTTTCCACCAAGTCTCCTTGGCTTGCTGATCAAGTGCGTGGCTCCATCCTCATGGCAAGTTACCGAATGCAGCAAAGGGCATTTCACTGCTGAAGTTCCCCAAGCCTCTGCGTATGTGGTCAGGTTTAAATGAAGTGATAGAGCTAGAGACAGTTACTGTTAACTGATAATTTTTTTTCTTAAATATCAGTAATTCAAAGAATTTGAGTCCCAACTGTGTAGGGTTTTTTTCTTGCCTTCCTTGGGATTGTGCTGTTGGGTACCACGTGTATGGCGGCATTGCTGTGTTTCCCAGCCTGTTCACAAACCCTACGTGTAGAGCCACGGATGTCTTCTCAGCGCTTGGGTCCCTGCCTCCCCAGTGCTTGTGATGTGTTTTGCACAGAGCAGCCTGCCAGAGAGCAGCAGAGCCTGCTGTTTCTCGCTGGGTTCTGGTAGGTCTCTACAGGGGAGGCTTCCACGCAGAGTTGGTCATGGGAGATTTCGATATCTTGGATCCGAAATCGCTCCCTGTGTGGATGTTTGTACTTTGCTCGAGGCAAGCAGAGTGGAGCTGGCTGTACCAGTAGGACTGTCCTGTCCCCTGGTGTCCGCTCTGCCTGGGGCTGTGGGTTACTCTGCAGAGCAGCCAGTGTCCCGGTACCTCAGCTGGTGTCCACGCGATACAACCTGTATTTGTGAGTCAGTCCAGCATGCCAGGCTGATAGCG